TCAAATAAATAACCTAACCATACATCTAGAAGAACAAGAAGAACAACAACAATGGAAACCCAGAGTTTGTAGAAGAAAGGAAATAATCAGGATCAGGCAGAACTAAATGACATAGAGACTAAAAGAACAATTCAAAGGACCAATAAATCCAGGAGGTGGTTTTTTGAAAAGATAGACAAAATTGACAAAGCTTTAACCAGATTCATCAAAAAGAAAAAAAAGAAGAAGGGGAGAAAAATAAATAAAATAAGAAGTGAAAAAGGAGAAGTTACAACCAATACCACAGAAATGCAAAGGATGCTAAGAAGTTACTATGAACAACTATATGCCAAGAAATAGGACAACCTGGGCAAAATGGACGGATTTCTAGAAATATATAATCTTCTAAAAGTGAATCAAGAAGTGACTAGACAGATAACAACTAGTGAAACTGAAGCAGTAATCAAAAAACTCTGGCCCATAAAAGTCCTGAAGTGGATGGCTTCCCAAGTGAACTTATGAAACATTTGAGGAAGAACTAACCCCTATTTTTCTAAAAATACTACAAAAATTCAAGAATAGAGAAATTCACCAAACACTTTTGATGAGGCCTCTATCATCATTATTCCAAAACCAGATAAAGACACAAAAAGGAAAGAAAACTATAGGCCAATATTGCTGATGAACATATACAGTAAAATCCTCAACAAAATACTGTCACACTGTAACCAGCAAAACATTAAAAACATCATACCCCATGATCAAGTGAGATTCATCCCAGGGATGCAAGGATGGTACGATATTTGCAAATGAATAAATGTAATACATCACATCAACAAAATAAAAGACAAAAACAGCATGATTATATCAATAGATGCTAAAAAAAATTTGATAAAATCCAGCATCCTATTAAGTTAAAAAACTCAGCAAAGTGGGAATAGAGGGAGCATATCTCAACATACATGAGACACCTATAGCCAACATTATACTTAATGGGCAAAAACTAAAATCTTTCCCCTTAAGATCAGGAACAAGACAAGCATGTCTTGTCCACTTTCATCACATTTATTCAATATAGTACTGGAAGTTCTAGCCATGGTGATCAGACGAGAAAAAGAAATAAAAGGCATCCAAATAGGAAAAGAGGAAATAAAACTGTTATTATTTGCAGATGACATTAGATAGTATACACAAAAAACCTTATAGTCTCCACCAAAAAACTAATCAATATAGTAAGTGAATTAGTTAAAATAGCAGGATACAATGCCAATATTCAGAAATAAATGGCACTTTTGTACACCAACAATGAAATATCAGAAAGAGAAACTAGGAAAAAAAATCCTATTTACTATAACAACAAGAAGTACCTAGGAATTAATTGAAACAAAGAGGTAAAAGTCTTGTACTTGGAAAACTATAGAGCACTGAAGAAAGAAAGGGAACATATAAATAAATGGAAGCACATACCACATTCATGGGTTGGAAGAATTAATATCATTAAAATGTACATACTACCCAAAATAATCACACAATCCAACACAATTCATATTAAAATACCAATGACATATTTCACATACCTAGAACAAATATTTCAAAAATTTATATGGAACCAGAAAAGTCCCCAAATAACCTTAGCAATCTTGAGAAAGAAGAACAAAGTAGGAAGGATCATAATACTTTGTATCAAATTATACTACAAAGTTAGTGTAATCAAAGCAGCCTGGTACTGGCATAAGAACAGACACATACATCAGTGGAACAGAATGGAAAACCCAGAAATAAACCTAAGTCTCCATGGCCAATTAATATTTGACAAAGCAGGCATGAGCATACAATGGGGTGAAAATAGCCTATTCAATAAATGGTATGGGGAAAGCTGGACAGGTACATGCAAAAATATGAAAATAGATCATCAACTTACACAAGAATAAACTCAAAATGAACAAAAGACTTAACCATAAGTCATAACACCATAAAAGTCCTAGAGGAAAACATAGGTAGAAAAATTTCAGATATCCCATGTAGCAATATTTTTGCTGATATGTATCTCCTAGAGCAAGAGAAATAACAGAAAAAAATAAACAAATGGGACTATATCAAATTAAAAAAGTTTCTTCAAGACTAAGTAAACCATCATCAAAATGAAAAGGGAACTGACTGTGTGGGAGAACATATCTGCCAATGATACATTGGATAAGGGTTTGATCTCCACAATATATAAAGAACTCGACCTTCGATCAAATAGGCAGAGGTAGACATTCCTTGCATCCTCACACAACCACAAAAAGGAATTACAACTATATTTCAAAACAAGTAACACATAACTGTCAGAGAATCAAACTGTATGGAATTCTGACAACCAAGGTTTTAAAGAAGTCACATTGATCTAGTTGGGTAGGAGGGGTAGATATGTGGAGCGACGGCAGAGAAGCCAGGATGAGTTGTGGCATGGAGAACAACAGTGATGGTGGAATGGGCAAGGGCAGACCCACATTCCTATGCGGTAGATAAAAATCAGAAGGAATGAATACCTTGGGAGCAAGCCACCATTGCTCCAGACCAGACTGTACAGCCCGGAGTTCCAGTGCCACGAAGATAAACATCCATAACTTCTGGTTCAGAAAACCAGTATGTGTACGTGTGGCAGGTGAAACTGCCAGATTTTCAGAAAACTTCGCTTCAGGTTATGCACATCATCAATCATATGCAAACCCAACAGCTCTGGGACTCAGCACCAGGGCAATAGCTGGAAGGGTACCAGTCATATATGGGGAGTGGCTGAAAGACTGGAAACAGGGAAAGTGCTGGGCAAACCCTCAGATGACAGGCAGCAACATAAAGAAGAAATAAACATTCAACCAGAAAGAAGAACAGAAAGAAGAAACAAGAATTCAAAAAATGAGGATAGTGTAAGACTCAGGGTCATCTCCAAACACAGCAACATCTGAATCATTGTGATGCATAAGAAGAGGAAGAGCAAGATACTGAAAATTTATTTGAAAGAATAAGAAAGAAAACTTCCCCAATTTGGCAAAGGAAATACTCATTCAAGCCCAGGAAGCACAGAGTCCCAAACAAGATGGACAAAAAGAGGACCACACCAAGATATATCATAATTAAAATGCCAAAGGTTAAAGAGAAAGAGAAAGAGAATGAGAAAGAGAAAGAGAAAGAGAAAGAGAAAGAGAGAATCTTAAAAGCAGCAACAGAAACACACCTACAAAGGAGTTCCCCTAAGACTGTCAACTGATTTCTCAAAAGAAACTTGCAGGCTAGAAGGGACTGGCTAGAAGTATTCAAAATGATGAAAAGCAAGGACCTACAACCTACATGACTCTAACCAGTAAAGCTAGTATTTAGAATGGAAGGACAGATAAAGTGCTCCCCAGACAAGATAAATCTAAAGGAGTTCATCATCACCAAGCCATTATTACATGAAATGATAAAGGGACTTATTTAACAAAAATAAGAAGATCAAAACTATGAATAGTAATCAGGCAACAAATTCACAACTATCAGCAACAGAATCTAAAAATAAAAAAAACCAACCAGAACAGAAGCAGAACTATAGATATGGAGAACATTTGAAGGGTTATCAGCTGGGAAGGGGATGGGGGAGAATGGTGGGAAAGGTACAGGGAATAAGAAGAATAACTGATAGGTGTAAAATAAACAGGGCGATTTTAAGAACAGTATAAGAAACAGAAATGCCAAAGAACTTATATGCATGATCCGTGGCTATGAACTAAGTGGGGGATTACTGGAGGAAATGGGGGTCCTGGGTGAAGAAGGTCAAAGGGGGAAAAACTAGGACAACTGTAACAACATAATCAGTAAAATATATTATAAGAACAATTACTTGATTACTTGCAGTATTTGGTAAGCATCCACTTGAATATTAAGCACAGAATAGTAAAACACAGATTCTCCCTCCAAGAAGCTTACCAAATGAGATATAAGATTTTTAAAAGTTATACTTTTAGAAAACATTTTTAAAAATGAATGGTATAAATTAACTGAGTATATTTATGGTTGTTTTTGTATTAATATAATAGAAATATGTGTTTACCATGGAAGAATTTCTAATGTAAGAGAGGCAGACAGAGGGTCAAGACATACTCGATAAATGGAGCCTGTAGAAGATACAGGACTGTTCCAACCAGGCTTTCTCAAATTAACGAAGCCTCATATACATGGGAGCATGGTGCTCACACAGAGGTTTCCCAGAGGTAAGTCCTTCTGGAGGAGGGAGAGATGAGGAACAACTATCATAGTACCCAGTTCTCTTGCTCTGAGAGGCTAACCAATTAGCTTAGGATACACAACATACTCAGAAGGAAAACTCCAGTGTGGGCAGTTACTTTGGTCCACAATATACAGTGACCTGTAAGGGCAGTGTTTGGAATTGTACAAGAAAACAGAATATGCCAAATTTTAATTCCACAACTGTATACTGAATTATATATCAGGCGCCTGATCCTTACCCAAATGGCCTAGATTTCAAACAGATTTGACTCCATGGGAATCAAACTTTTAATTCCCATGGAGTGTAATGCTGAATTCCACAGATTACTTCCAAGAACTGGGTCTGGGAGAGAAGAATTCACCTATTAGCTACAGAAGCACGGAATATTAAAATTCCCTCCTAATTAATAAAAATTTCCATGTGGAGAGAGATGTGTAAAAAACTTAAAAGTACTTTCCAGAACAAGGTTCTGTTTATCTGATGGTGTTAGAGAATCAGAAACAAAATTATTTCCTGGAGGTTGGGGATCCTGTTTGAATGTAGTAAGATCACCTAAGATTCTTCTAATCCATTTCTCTTGCTTGTGAAGTGGATGAGCCAGCTCAAAGCTCCGGACATTTTTGCACAAAACCCACCACTACTCCCTAAAACATGTTCACTATGTATCACTATATATTAGAATGCCCCACATTAAATTACCTTTTTGACATCTATTTCCAACTCTCCCCCACATCTTATGCCCTCACTCTAAAAAATAATACACATACTGGGCAAATCTTTTAAAAATGAAGCAATGTTTATAACTCCAACACATCATAAAATGCACATGCTCAAGTATTACTATGAATTAGAGGCAGCCACTTTTTAAAAAGATTTTACTTATTTTTAGACAGAGGGAAGGGTGGGAGAAAGAGGGAAAGAAGCACCAATGTGTGCTTGCCCCCTACTGGGGACCTGGCCCACAACCCAGCATGTGCCCTCACTGGGAATCGAACCCATGACCCTGTGGTGTCAATCTACTGAGCCACACCAACTAGGGCAGCAGCCACTTTTTGAAAAACTAAGTAAGTAAGGGTATAAATTAGTTCACCAAAGCTTTTAGTGTAGAATCTAGTGCTTATCACCACCTGGTCATCACATACCTAACACATGCTCGCTTAAACCCAAGAATGCAGAACAGGACAATTTGGTCATGCTTATGAAATAACCTGAATTTCACAATGAGTCTTCTGCTCCCGATGTTTTGAAATCTGAAGCACTCCAGTGTAAAAATCCACTTCTATGGGGATAGGCCTGGCACAGAGGGCTGATATGGCTTGAATTCCTCAGATTCATACTCTGGGGATGCATTCAAGTTCCATGATAGAATCTCCTCCAGTGAGATAGGCCACTGCCCACCATGCCAGTGAACATGATCAAAGAAACAGAACATTTGTGGTTAGTTCTTTAACAAACATCTTTTGGGATTGGGTGATTTTCCAGAAAGCGTGTAAGTAAAAGCCATAGCCCTTTGGGAGAGTCGTAAATTACATGAGAAGCAGCCAAGCCTTCAGTGGACCTGCTGTCATTTGTTCCTTTTCTGTCTTTGTGCTGCCACCTAAGGAGAAAAGGAAAACATGTTGTAACCTACAGAAGGGGAGTCACCTGAAATCCCAAGCATCATCTGCACCTTCTGGAACAGAAAAATGTGGAACAGAAAAGTGTTGCTGGCTGGTTAAATCCTCTGAGTATCAGCAGCTGTGCTTTTGTGCTTCTGAGATAAGACCTCTGGTGAAGCAAGCGGTTTTGGTGGTAGCTATCATTGGTGATCTCATTCTAGGGTCCTGGAGAGTGAATGGGGAAGAAAAATATTTTCTTTCCAGGGTTTAAAGGGAGTGAAATACAGAATGTTAAAGTTGCCCAAACTTATGGAATAGACACCATCATTTGAGAAAAAAAAATGAAAATACATAAAAAACAAGGTTCTAACATAATTCTTAAACCATTTTCCTTTTTCCCTTTTCTTTTAAAGGTGAATCTTTTGTTTGTTTCTTTGTTTGTTTTTTTGTTTTTTTAAAGTAGGAAGCCTTATGTAGACCTCCAATGTATGAAAAAAATATAGAGACTTGCTGGTGGAAGTAGTCCCTAGTATCCCTTTCAAGAATGTCACTGAACATGGTTATCACTATAAGCTGGTTTCTTATTGAGTTCAAAGCCAATCATGCTTTATTCTGGAGCTACAAGTTACCAGAAAAAATGTTGATGGAAATCAGATTTCTATGCCATAATGTGGATAAAATGTGACAGAGGTTGGACCTTCCCCGAAGGGCTTTACTAGCCCAGTTTTTCCCACAGCTCCCAGTACTACCTGGATCTCTATTTACTCTCCAGAACAAAAACTTCTTGAAGGCAAATATTTTGTGACATGTTGAAAGCTACATTTCTAGTGCCTAGAACATTTGACACATAGCAGGTGTTCTAAGGAATAAATGAATCTAAGCTTCTTCTTTGGCTTCTTTTGAAAGAACTAATAACATGACTTTTATTTTTCACATATTCTGATTAAAACACATGTATGGTAGCAATTCTTTTAATGTCTGCGAAGGAGCTAATTCCTCTATAAATCACATTTGATGCTTTCCCCCTTCTCAGATAGGCTTGATTAGTGTGATGCCATCAAAATAACATTAATTTACAAAAGTACAGTAAGTACTAAAAAGCTGACAGCTGAATTAAAGATTTGACATGCAAATATGCCAGCTAAGTGGAAGCATTACTTAAATTCTCACCTCTGTTCAGGATAACTTGAACTGCAAAATTCATTAAGAATAAAGCAAGATGTGTATTCTGTGTATTCTGTGCATCTGTGTATCAATTTCACCTCTCTGTGTGTGATTAGGCTGTCGATGTCCTCAGGCGGAATGCAGAGAAATTCTCAGAGACAGAAAATTCTGAAGTCTCACTATGCCACACCTGAGGGGGTCAGTCTGCCATGGGCAATTATTAACTCACCCAGGGACACCAAAAACTGTTATAGAACAGACGCAAGGAGGGTATACGATATACTGTTACCAAAAGGAACCCCATTAGGTTCACTATGCCCACCGCCAGAAGAGAGATGTTTCTCAATGCCAGAGATTTGTGAAAAGTAAAGGAAATATTTATTTAAAGGCTATACAGACTTATAGTAGTGACTAAATGTCTTCATTAAAATACTAAAGTCCTTTAGAATACACACAGTTGTGCAGTCTTTCCTTCTCCCTCTGCCCTAGTCTGGGGTACTGTGTCTCAGAAAAGAAGTAGAAGTCCATGATTTGGGCTCGCAGCACCATCAGCTGTGTTGCCACCACAATCTCCAGTTAATCCAAAGCCATGTGGCACCTTCTCATGGCCCACCAGCAAGAGTCCTTTCACCCCTCTTCTTCCAGGCGAAGTCTCTCCTGCTTCCTAAGCCACGTGGCAAAAGGGAGCACCCCAAAGCCACAGGGTCTCCACTCTGCAAAAGCCATGTGATTCTCCCCCACATGGCTGCTGTGCCTGGGTTTAAATTCTTGGGCCAATCTTCCTCTGCAGCCCCATTTCCAAATCCTCCTACAATTAGTTACACCTGCCAGCATTCCTGTACTCTTCCAGCTTTACTGGGCTGCCATCATAAGTCTGGGGAGGGGTGGCCCCATGGCATGGAGCCAGTCTTCTCCAAGCTCTGATGCAGGCACTGTAACCAGGGGGAGCTGCCTCTCAGTTACATCTTGGGTGGAAGCCACTTCATTCCCCCTGGCTCAAAGCATGGCCACAGCTATTATATTACCTATGAAACCAGTTAAAGTTATAGATATGTTAAATGACTATGCCAGAGATTAGCTGAAAAGCTGTTGCTATACAACACAGCTCCCAATGGCCCTGCTCCATGTGTCCCATCCCCCAGTTTAGCCTTGTGGGGGTGGAGGTGGTAAGGACATCCTGTATATTTTTCCAATATTTCCTGGACACCTTGAGTTCTGGACCCCATTACAAATTTCTATTTGTGGCCCTCCTCTTGGCTGCACCGTTACAAAATTGGGACACATAGCCAATCTTTCAAAACCCAAAGTAAACAGCTACCAACAGCTGAGGCAAATTTCACCTTGCTTTTCATCAGAACTTGCACTTTCTTATTTCTCTTTCTTTTTGTTTACTTAGGTTTTTATAGTGTTTTGTTTTTTCTCTTTTCCCTTTCACAATGCATTTTAATTTTTCTTTTCACTTCATTTGTATTCCAAATAACACACTACTCTTGGTCTTTTACCTTTTATTCTTTTTATTCAGATTATATATTTCTTATCATATCATTGTTATTTTCTCACACAGCACCCTTCTTTGGTCTTTTTTTTTTTAAATCTCCTATTTATTTTATTTTTTTTCCTTTATTACATTTTTTCCTTTATTACGCAGTTTTTGTGTCTTTTCTCCCCACCACTCCCCTATTCCACCTTTATTAAACTTCATTCAGCTGTCATTGTTATCGACCCTGCTGCCGTTTTCCTTGTATGATCCAACACCTTTTCAATTTTACTTCAAACCTCACAGTATACTCTTCCCTTTTCTTACCTTATTGTTCTTATAGCCCTTTTATGTTTTACTTACATTTTAAATCTTGTTCTCTCCCTTTCTTCGCCTAGGTTCTATCCTAACTCTTATCAATCCTCTTCTCTCTTACTACTCAATAATATTCCCTCCCCCTTTTAGTCATCTCATATTCCCTTTGTCAAACATTATAATATGTATAATTTCTCTTCACTTCTATTAATCTTAGCTCAACTGTGTTTCAGATTGCTGATGTGGTAGGAGGGTTCTTTTTGCTGACCTAGGTTTGGTTGTCTGATAATACTGCTTTGGTAACCAATACTTGTATAATAGCATACAAGACAAGGTGGTAGTAGTAACTACCAGTAAACTGAATGGAGGGGAGAACCAACCAACAATGAAGTCGCCAACAGGTAAAGCCCAAGTACAAAAACAGAGCCTACACAAATGGAAGAATGGGCAACCCTAGAGCACCCAGACATGGGACTCAGAGACCAACTCACTGAGTCCCAAAGAACTCCTACCACAGAAGTCACCCCATGAAGACGGCTGGCAAAGCAGAGCATCCTGAAATGCAAAAACAAACAGAAAGTGTCACCTAATAGGGGGAGAAAAAGAGGAACCCCCAATTGAAAGGACGAGCTAATTGAAATGGAGGCAAATTGTCAGACATAGAATTCAAAAAATGGTTATAAGGATGCTCAAGGAACTCATTGCACCAGGAAGAAATAAAGATACAATATCTAAAATAAAAAATACACGAGAAGGAATTACAAGCAGGATGGACAAAGCAGAAGACCAAATTAGTGAGCTGGAAGAAAAGGGAGAAAGAAACACATAGGTACAGCAGCAGCACAAAATATGACTAAAGTGAAATAAGGATAGCTTTAGGGAGCTTCTTGACAATGTGAAATGCAGCAACACTAAAATCATAGGAATACCAGAAGGGGAAGAAACAGAGCAAGGAATAGAAAACCTATTTGAAGAATAAGAACACAAAACTTCCCTAACCTGGAGAGGCGAAAAGCCATGCAAGTTCAGGAAGCACAGAGGTTCCCAATCATGATAAACCCAAAGAGGTCTACTCCAAAACACATCAAAAATAAAATGCCAAGTTTCAAAGACAAAGATAGAATCTTAAAAGGAACAAGAGAGAAACCAGAAGTAGCATACAAGGGAGCTCCGATAAAGATATTATAATATGCAGCTGATTTTTCCATAGAAACACAAGCCAGAAGGAATGGCAAGATGTATTTCAAGTAATGAAAAGCAATGGCCTATCTAGTATGGCTCTCATTTAAAATGAAAGGCAAAATAAGTAATTTCCCATAAAAAAGATAGCTAAAAGAATACACCTCCACCATACCAGCACTGCAAGATATGCTAAAGGGACTGCTTTAAAGATGAAGAAAAAGAGTGAGAGAGAGAGAAGTAGGAAGGGGGAAAATGGCAATGAATAAGTACCTATCAATAAAAATCTTAAATGTAAATGGATTTAATACCCCAATCAAAAGACATAGGGTGGGTGGGTAAGAAAAGAGGACCCACACATATGCTGCTGTCAAGACATTCACCTCAGAACTAATAATCTACAGACTGAAAGTGAAGGTTTGGGGAAAAAAAAAAAAAGCAAATAGGAGACTTCTGGCCAAGATGGAGGCATCGGTAGACACACTGTGCCTCCTCGCACAACCAAAACAAGGACAACAAATTTAAAAACAAAAACAACTAGAACTGCCAGAAAATTGAACTGTTTGGAAGTCCAACAACCAAGGAGTTAAAGAAACATTCATCCAGACCAGTGGGGGGGCAGGGGGCGGAGATGGGCAGCCAGGTAGAGAGGACTCACAGTAAGGTGGCAGGTTGCAGACTGGGCATGCGGATAAACTGAGAGGAACAACTGGGGAGTCCTCTCTGTGCAACCCAGGGTTCCAGCGCGGGGAAATAAAGCCTCAAAGCCTCTGACTGAAAACATTGGTGGGGGTTGAGGTGACAGCAGGAGAAGCTCCCAGCCTCACAGGAGAGTTCATTGAAAAGACCCCCAGGGTCCTAGAA